ACTCTAACCGAAAATGAAATAAAATATGACACTTATGAGAAAGAAGCTCTAGCCATAGTGTATTGTGTCAAGCATTTTAGACCTTATTTATACGGACGGAAATTTACTTTAGTCACAGACCACAAACCTCTTCTTTGATTTAAATGCACAGGATGCAAATACTACGATGGAGATTAAAATTAGCCGAATACGATTACGATGTAGTATAAAAACCAGGTAAAACTAATGTAAATGCCGATGCTTTATAGCGAAATCCGATAGATCTTGAAGAAGCAAATTGCAATATAATTAATCATCACAAGCCTTTGAACTCTAATGATCCGAAAGATGCAGAAACGATTTCTAAAATGCTAGAGGAATCAGATGAGGAAGACGAAGACGACGAAGATTTTAAATTATATTTGACAGATGACGAACCATTTGAAGACTTATTACCAGACAATCGTCCACCTGAAAAAAGGATATAAACTCGACATCTCTCATACAAAAGGAGATAGAAGAATCACAAGAACCACGAACTATGGGAAAAACTTCAAAACACGACACTCTCCGAAATAATGGAATGCAGACTCGAAGCCAAACAGCAAAAAACAGGGATGCCCAGCAGGATAAGGTACCCAGAGATTTTTCACAACAAGAGAGTGAAACCGAAGAAACAGAAGATAGAAACGACTCATTGGACGAAGAGAGCGATACAGAGAGAGATGATAAAGAGGAAAATCAAGAAAAGGAAGAATTTAGAGAAGAACATACAATTCAGAAATTGAAGGAAAAAAACAGGGCCTATTATTGTTAACGACCAAATAATTAAAAACAATATTCTTGATTCTCGCGAACTATTATTTTTGCGAAAGGATAACGTTGCATATTTCGTCGACACCAATGGAAGACCGTTGGACTCAGGTTCACAAAAACTATTGGAAAGAAACGAGATCCCTCGCTTAGGAGATCTCGCTTTAGGTAAAGCCAAAGTCGTAAAATATAAAAAACACTACCATTTAGCCTTGCCTATCAGCAAAGGACAACGTGAGGGACCGACAATGACTCTCACCCAGATTTCCGCAGTAATAAAAGATTTACGGTTTATCACTGAAAACTTAAAGTTAGAAACTGTTAGCATTGCTAAGACCGATCATGTCAATAATGTGCCTTGGAGCAATATTAAAACTGCATTACAATTAGTTTTTGTAAATTCAACAACCAAATTAATTATATGCAATGGACTAGTTAAATATCCCCCCAAAGATCTTCGACCTACGATAATCGGGGAAATGCATTGTCTACCTACGGGAGGACATCGAGGCGTCACAAAGTCATATAACAGAATAAAACATAAATACCATTGGGAAAATCTAAAGTCCGATGTTCATCGATACATACAACAATGTCTACAATGTCAATTGAAAGAACTAGTTCGAGTAAAAACTAAACATCCTATAGTAATCACCGATACATCAGGATCGTCTTTTGATAAGGTCGCCATGGATATCGTAGGATCTTTACCTAAAACCGGAAGAGGCAACGAATATATTTTAACTATTAAAGACCAGTTAACTAAATTTTGCATGGGAATACCATTACCGGATCAAACATCAGAAACAATAGCAGAAGCCTTTGTCGATAGATTTATTTGCGTATTGGGAGCACCTAAAGCTATATTAACAGATCAAGG